GACCAACTGCCGCGTTAAGGATATCTAATACGTTGTCTAAAATAAAACAACACTTTAGTATACAAAAAATACAAAAGGATTAATGGCGCTTTTTTTTCCTAAAATATTTGGTATTCATAAATCCTTAATAATCTATGGCATATAGCAACAAGCATTAATTTATAATGCTTTTAAAAGGAATTTACACATTACGACATCTTAAATTAAATACCCTACATTTTTAGGCTTGAAGAATAAGCTGCGCATTAAACAAATCCAAATCATTGTATCAAAAAAAAATCATAGTATTATCACAGAATATAACTATTCAATAAATACAATTGGAATCGAAAAGAAAAGAAAAGAAAGGAAAGGAAAAGCGTGGAGGATAAGCTTGCCATTTTCTAAAGTGTTTCTTTCTGTCCGATGTGTCATGTTTTTGAAATAGGTCGTTGACAGCTCCGTCTGCCGGATAGGAAATGCATATTTAATAATATTATTCTTCCACTCAGCAGGGTCCCCGGGAGCTTAGCTTGTTTTATGACTGGCTGGACAACATAATCCTGAGAAAATGTAAGCAAAAGAAAGGCAGTTTTTTACGGGCGATTATCGGAGATATCCGAAAACAGATGTGTGTGTGTGTTTTAGGGACTTGAAGGACTCAACTCATGTCCGAGAAAAAATTAGCCAAGTCAAAGTTCCCGATGCCTGCTTGTTTGCGTTCAATCAACGATTCTATTTACGAATACCATCGACACAGTTTTCCGCTTGGCCATTTCCTCCCAGCATTTGCGTTTCATTCGATTCATTGTTGGCCCACGTTGCGGTCCGACTTCTATTTTCAGCATTTCCATAAAATTTACATTTTTCCTACGGACTGAGGACTGCGGACTGCCGAAATCATTGGGCCGTGGTCCATTTTGCCAGGGTAAAGGGTGCGAATGGAATGTAGGCGCCACGCGACGGAGCTAAATTTAATTTTGTTAATGAGCTCTGCCCGTTTCATCAACTCGCCAATGTGGCCACACCCGCATCCACAACCTCTAAAAAACCCGCCTCAACCCATTTTCGAGGTGTCCCCATTTCGAGGCCCAGCATCCACTTACCAAGTTATGTGTTCCTGTTTATACGATGGCCAGTTCAAGCACTCATTTCATGAAATGGGGAAATTCGCTTCAAAGTTGACTATGAATATGAATCAAACGCGTGAAATGGTGAGGCACAAGTAACTTAAATCGTTATAAATAAGGTGGCAATGCTGGACGTAAAATTAAACTCTTCTACCCTATCAAAGCTGTTTATTATATTTGTCTTTCCTCGGCTTTATTGCTTATCAGTTTTCGTTAAAACAATTAAACTGTTAAAACTAATAATCAGCTAAAATAAGAATGCTAGAAGAGCTGCGTGACATGCAAATTAAGTTAGGACTTAATTTTCCACCTCTGCCATCCCTGCTTATAATATTTCATACTATTTCCATACTATTTAGATTTTATGTATTTAAGAATTCATGAAATTCATAACATAAACTTAGTATGTGTGTGTGTGTGCGTTTCTGGCCTTTATTGCGTTGTTGATGCCAGCCAGGATTAGGATGGGGATAGGGATTTGGATTAGGATTGCGATTGCGACTGTGACTGTGATGGCGACTAGGACGAACGATAGCCCATTGCCGGGAACACTTTAAAAACAAACTGTTTGTGGGCCGGGGAGGATTTGATTAAATGCGGTACTCTTTTGGGTCCATTGCCGCTATCATTGCGCCAAAAAAAAAATACAAGTTGAGCCGACAAACCATTAACATTTTAATTGTTCCTGGGACGCAATGGAGTCGTGGTCCAAGCGGAACAATTGCCAATGAGTGCTCGAATAAAACTTTATGGGGGCAACGAAGGGCGGCCAGAGAAAAGGCCATTAATATTGGAACCATAAAAGTCAAAAGTTTACGGAGGGTGGACTTAGAATGGCGAATGGCAGGCCTAGATTAGCAATATTTTTGATACCGCCTCACAAAGATAATTATCTTTTTTTTTTTTGAACGAAAATATTTTAACCAAAATCGAGGTTAAGAAAAAAATACAATTTTTAAACTTTTTCATGTGATTTGGTCAAAGGTAGTTTCACAACTAAATGAATAACTTTTTTTTTTGAATTGATTTGTAATCTTTTTTATTTCAACAGTGGTTAGTTGTTGGTAAATCTTCCTGCCATGTTCTGTTTTGCAGCTGCCTCTGTGGCGGTGTCCTCTTGGACCCTGGTGGCCATCTCCTGCGAACGCTACTACGCCATCTGCCACCCGTTGAGGTCGCGCACCTGGCAGACGATCAACCACGCCAACAAGATCATCGCCATCATCTGGCTGGGCAGTCTGGTGTGCATGACGCCCATCGCCGCCTTCAGCCAACTGATGCCGACCAGCCGACCAGGTGGGTGCAAAACCATTATTTAAGGACATACGTTTTTCATTTTTTGCCCTTAAGGGCATGGCAATTAAACTTTTTTCCGAGACGCTTCATAGATTGTTCCTGGAAATTGCTGCCATTGTCGGTCGTATTTTTTGTTTGTATTTGGTCGTGAATATTGCAGAGAATATTCTGTAAATGACATGCTATAATAAAACATCGACATCTAAAGAATGGGTTTCAACTCTTTCATCAAAAGAAAACAAGGAAAATTGACATTTTTAAACGAATTAACACCACTTTCCCATTAATCCTGTTTTTTTTTTTTTTTTTTTGTTTGTTTAAGGACTGCGCAAGTGCCGCGAGCAATGGCCGGCGCACAGCCTCAACTACGAGCGGGCCTACAACCTGTTCCTGCTCCTGGCCCTTCTGGTCCTGCCCCTGTTGGCCCTCAGCTTCACCTACCTGTTCATCACGCGCACGCTGTACGTGAGCATGCGCAACGAGCGGGCCATGAATTTTGGCAGCAGTGGTCCGGAGGTGGCCTCCGCCTCCGCCTCTGCAGGAGGAGCTGGTGGAGCAGGAGGAGGAGGACCCGGCAGCCAGAGGCGCTCCATCGGAGGCCACTGCCACCAGTCCCTCGACACGATGACGCCGCACCAGCACCAGCAGCAGCAGCAGCAACAGCATCCAAGCCAGCCACACCATTCCCAGTATTACTACGGTGAGAGGTTTTATGTTAAAATTCTGACATTTTTGTCCCCCTTTTTGCAGCCACAGGGGCAAAGGGTTTTTGTGGGCTCGTGGGTGGGTGTGGGCGTGGGCGTGGGGGTGGATGCCTCTCGTGGGAGGTGCCATTCCAGATTAGTCCAACGGCTGCGCTTCACCAACTGCGTCACACACAATTTGCACGGCAAAGTTTACCACGCACGAAAAGCTTGCCGCTAAAATCGAGGAAGTGAATTGGATGGGTATGGGTGCTTGGAGGAGGAATGCTGGAGTAAAGGGGGATTAAGGTTGGAGGTACACCCTAAAAAAAATTAACAACAAATGGAATTCATTAGCTTAACATTGCAATCTACTTGTGACTTAAAGTTATGGCCGATAAATGTATTCTACACACTGCCTAAACTGTGGGAATATAGCCCATATTTTGGTATTTCTATAATGGCTTATATTTAAATGAAACAATGGGAACAATAATAAAGTCTTAGCATTACCTAAAAGTACAAAAACTGCCCATATTTCGCAGGTAGTAAACGTAGGAAATCCAAGTAATTCATACCCAATTTTTGATTTATTCCCTTTGATTTTCATTGATTGCCGTTTAAGTTATTTTAAATATGGAAATATTAAATATTTTCTAGGTATTTTGTTTCACTATATTATTTTTTATTTGGGTTTAGTATGAAAATTTAAATTTGTGGTTTACTTAAAAATGAATTTTACTTACTTTACTTCATTTTTTTTTTGATATTTTAAGGATATGCATGGTCATGAGTTAGTCTGCATTTTCTCAGAGTGTAGGAGATTTAAGACTGGAATATGAAGGATGAAGATTGGAGTGTTAGCCAAGTGCTCCGAAAAGTGGAGACAATGCCCGCCCAAAAAAAGCTCCAGGCGTTTTTGCTTTCATTTGCATTCGCATCGACGGCTTTAAGAGCACTCCCCGTGGCTAGATGGCTCTGATTTCCACAGATGCTGCGATGCTGTGATACTGTGAATAATCCCCAGATTAAGTCAGCCCTAGGCAAAATGCTGGTCCAAATCAATTCTCCTAATTCGGCTTTAATGTTGGCTTAAAGTACATTCCTAATGTATTCCAGAGTCTGCAGTGAATGTAGGCTGTAGGCCCTAAAAATATAGCACAGTGGAGAGGCTGTTTGAACTTGAGATAACGTGACGTGTATGACAACTGCAAACCCCTCTCACACAGCGAACTCATCCATGAGTCCCCGTGGAAATCACACTGAGACGCTTTCATGTTCGGAAATATTACTCTTGTCCTTGGTTCATTCAGCCATGGAAAGAGGTCCACCTCGATGAAGACGGTGTTGTCCCGGAGCGACTCATTTGCATGAAAGGGTTCCGTGCTAAGTCCTTCAAAGTCGGCATTCTGAATGGAAATGGTGGAAAGTAAGCATTAGCATAGACGTCCACTAAGAACTTGAAATTATCACGGCATTCGGGGGCAGCCAGTGATTCATTTCCGGCTCCTGGCATTCCATTCTAGGTGGCTGACCCCCGGACAGTCCACTACACTGCCACTGCCACTACCACTACCAACACTATCTGTCGAGGGCCATGGGAGCACGGCCTGCTGCCGAAAAGGTCAATTTAAGTGCCGTAAATTATGCACGAGACAAGCATTTAAGCGCTCGTTAAAGGCCGTTATCCCACTCCAAGGATTGGCCATGGAGGCTGCCGCTTCACTTTCACACATACTACTTGTGCTTTCAGCATCGTTGCTGTTTGACAATAAATTTGATTAAATTTGTAAACTTTTTCGGTTCGTTTACGGCCATCGCATGACATTACTCTGTCATAAATTTCAGGCCCAGTGCGTAGAGTCTGTATATAGTATACTATATGCGCAAATGTCCTATTACGGGTTGTAATGGCAATTGCCATATTATTAGTACTAAGAACTCGTTTGTTATCGACCGCAAACAGCGCTTTAAATTGCAATTTAAATAGGGTTCAACTCAACTACTTTTCAAACCACTAATGGCAGTGAAATTGCGAAATGATAGGAGGCTTGACGATTAATGGGAACTAAAATCTCTCATTAGGTTTAAACTTACAACCACAATGAAATTAAATACAAGCTATTTGTTTCATGTCGCACCATATAATTTTAATTGATTTAAGTGCACTTTCATCTATCTTATCTAAATAATGTATGTAGTTCATGTTACACCATGTAATTTAAATCGGCCTCAAACAATTTTAAAATGGATTTTATGGGTATATTCCTAGTACTAAATACCCGAACAATTAAGTATAAGTATTATCTAAAAAAAAAAACCCAGATCTATTGGTGAATTGGAGGCAAGAACTTGTTCAATTTCTCGGATTCAATGATGCTCCCTATTGGTGTGACCTCCTTTCCAAGCGCAACCAAATGCCCCGCTTGCTGGCGGTGAGGAATGTCAGCGGAGACACCTCCATCCTGGCCTGATCCTGGTCCGCCAGATGGACGCAGTGGTCCTGCAGGAGTGTGGCCAGGGCAGCCTTGGTCTGGAGCAGTCCCAGTCGCATGCCCGGACACATTCGAGCTCCAGCGCCAAAGCCCAGGAATCGGCAGCCTACTGGTGCCTGGTTTAAGAATCGCTCTGGACGAAACTGCCTGGGTTCCGGATACAATTCAGGATCTCTAAATCGAAGGCCATTAAAGGTACTCCCATACAAAGTGGATTGAAAGAGGTAGCTCACAGATGAATAGCCTGAACGGGCAAAACCAGAACGGTGCCCAAATCCACCTTGAGTTTGCCATTGCAACCTGATTTCTGCGGAGGCAGGGTAAATGATTTGGTGCAGCGCTTCTGCAAGGCCTGCATGGCCGGATGAAGACGCAGTGCCTCCAGGAGGGCCGCTTCAGTATAGCGAAGTTCGCCCAGGGCCGATTGTCCCAGCAAATCTCGGTCCTGGCCTTGACCCACCCCATCCAATTCCAAGTGCAGACGTCCTTGTACATCCTGATTAATGGCCAGTTCGTAAAGGGTGACGGCCAAGAGCATGGCCGAGGTCTCATAGCCCTCCAGCAGAAGCGTGGTGGCATGTCCGGCCAGCTCCTCCTGTCCCAAACTCCTCTTGCCCTCCGCCAGCCACTGAAGCAGGTTATTACCGCTTGTCCTTCTGGCTGCCACCAATTCCCGGAACCAATGCTGTAGGTTAAGGGGTACGTATCTGTAAGGGAACAATAGCTTGGAAATTAGAAAAAAAAAAATGGGTGATTGGTTCACCCACCGATGGCCTATGAGCCTGCCCAACCGGGGTGAGTGCAGAAGGGCAATGGTTTCCAGCAAACTCCAGCCATTTGGCTGGAAAAGTGGGGCCAGCCACTCCAGCCAGCGACTGGGTTGCTCCGACTTTTGCTGGCCACCCAGGCAATGGGCATCCAAGCCAAAGACCACGGAGGCAATCACCTGCAACGTGTAGCGAGTGGCCAGCTCTTTGGCCTCAAAGCATCCCACACTCACTTGATCCCGGAGCAACCGGCAGGCTGTGTCCACATGGGGCAGCATCTGACGCACTCGAAGGGGCGTAAAGAGGGCAACCAGGTCGGCGCGAAAGATGCGCCACCGGTCGCCACTGGCTATGAAAGGATTATGGCTAGCCAGGACATCACGTCGATGGTCCACATAAGCAACATTGTCTGCACAGTCGGCAAAGTTAGTGCCCACCAGGATCTGGCGCAGTAAATCCTGATCCCGGACCAGAAGGGCGGGTTCATTGAACAGGCGATAGAAGCCCACGTATTTCAGACCGGGATTCGTCCTATCAAAAACAGATTATCATCTGTCATTGGGTAATTAATCGGACGACATCGCTCACCTGTATATCCACTCGTAAACCTCTCCATACGATTGCCTTGCCAGAGCAAAGTTCAGCATATTGCCAACCAGTGGCCAGCCGCAGGGTCCTTCCAATCCCAGACGTCGCCAGTGTCGACCATGCCACACCAAACGCACCACAGTGGCCACCAAAAGCAGGCTCAAACACAGTGGCAGCAGCATCGAGTAGGCTTATGCGATTGAGTTGGGTAGATTAATTGCACTACCTTTGCCCCAAAATAGTCGAGAGTTGCGTGACTCCAACCCATTAGCCTCGTGATGGCTGCACTTTACCCTAATGTTTCAATCACGCAAGATTAAAGCTAACCAGCGACCGTTAACATTCTAAGTTTTATTTCAAAAATCAATCTTCATAATGCTCTTTAAGAACAATGGCCATCTTTAAGCAAAATTGTATTATATGAAAAAAAAATTAAAGCAATAATAATTAACACAAAAAGAACTCTGAAGAAATCTGTTTTGCTTTAAATATCAAGAAACCCAAAAACATATTCACAAAATTTGTTCTTATATCAAAATCTTGGGAAATAATGGTCTAATGTTGGAATGTCATACACCGTTAAATTCGTAATAAAATTTCCAATCAAATGGCATTTTGGAATTTCTGCAAAAAATGATGATGTACCCCCTTACAAAAAAGTCAGAAATTTGGACAAAAAACGTATAGCAACTCTTTTGACTTTTGGGTCTTATTTTGGAAAAGTTACAGCAAAAAGACCCGACGGAAATAATTTTGTTTGAAAAATCGCCAAAAATCCCAAAAAACACTTTGAAAACTTGGTTTTTGTGTCAAAACCCTGGGAAATAATGGTCTAATGTTGGAATGTCATACACCGTTGAATTCGTAATAAAATTTCCAATCAAATGGCATTCACAGTTAAAATTTTTTCAGATTTTCGAATTTCGGCAAAAAATGATGATGTACCCCCTTACAAAAAAGTCAGAAATTTGGACACAAATAAATTTTTCAAAAAACGTTTTTCAAAATTCGGTTTTTTTGTCAAAACTAAATTAATTGTTTTCAAACGATCAGGTATAAATGGTATGGGTTGCCAGCTGTTCAAAATAGCAACTCTTTTGACTATGGGTCTTATTTTGGCAAAGTTACAACAAATAGACTCTTCATAAATAATTTTGTTTGAAAAATCGACAAAAATCCCAAAAAACACATTAAAAACTTGGTTTTTGTGTCAAAACCCTGGGAAAAACTGGTCAAAATGTGGAATGTCATACACCGTTGAATTCGTGATAAAATTTCCAATCGAATGGCATTCACAGCTAAAATTTTTTCAGATTTTCATATTTCTGCAAAAAATGATGATGTACCCCCTTACAAAAAAGTCAAAAATTTGGACAAAAATAAATTTGTCAAAAAACGTTTTTCAAAATTCAGTTTTTGTGTCAAAACTAAATTAATTGTTTTCAACCGATCAGGGATGGATGGTATAGGTTACCAGCTGTTCAAAATAGCAACTCTTTTGACTTTGGGTCTTATTTTGGCAAAGTTACAACAAAAAGACTCTTCAGAAATAATATTGTTTGAAAAATCGACAAAAATCCCAAAAAACACCTTAAAAACTTGGTTTTTGTGTCAAAACCCTGGGAAATAATGGTTAAAATGTGGAATGTCATACACCGTTAAATTCGTAATAAAATTTCCAATCGAATGGCATTTACAGCTAAAATTTTTTCAGATTTTCAAATTTCTGCAAAAAATGATGATGTACCCCCTTACAAAAAAGTCAAAAATTTGGACACAAATAAATTTTTCAAAAAACGTTTTTCAAAATTCTGTTTTTTTGTCAAAACTGAATTAATTGTTTTCAAACGATAAGGGATCGATGGTATAGGTTGCCAGCTGTTCAAAATAGCAACTCTTTTGACTTTGGGTCTTATTTTGGAAAAGTTACAACAAAAAGACTCTTCAGAAATAATATTGTTTGAAAAATCGACAAAAATCCCAAAAAACACCTTAAAAACTTGGTTTTTGTGTCAAAACCCTGGGAAATAATGGTTAAAATGTGGAATGTCATACACCGTTAAATTCGTAATAAAATTTCCAATCGAATGGCATTTACAGCTAAAATTTTTTCAGATTTTCAAATTTCTGCAAAAAATGATGATGTACCCCCTTACAAAAAAGTCAAAAATTTGGACAAAAATAAATTTGTCAAAAAACGTTTTTCAAAATTCAGTTTTTGTGTCAAAACTAAATTAATTGTTTTCAACCGATCAGGGATGGATGGTATAGGTTACCAGCTGTTCAAAATAGCAACTCTTTTGACTTTGGGTCTTATTTTGGCAAAGTTACAACAAAAAGACTCTTCAGAAATAATATTGTTTGAAAAATCGACAAAAATCCCAAAAAACACCTTAAAAACTTGGTTTTTGTGTCAAAACCCTGGGAAATAATGGTTAAAATGTGGAATGTCATACACCGTTAAATTCGTAATAAAATTTCCAATCGAATGGCATTTACAGCTAAAATTTTTTCAGATTTTCAAATTTCTGCAAAAAATGATGATGTACCCCCTTACAAAAAAGTCAGAAATTTGGACACAAATAAATTTTTCAAAAAACGTTTTTCAAAATTCTGTTTTTTTGTCAAAACTGAATTAATTGTTTTCAAACGATAAGGGATCGATGGTATAGGTTGCCAGCTGTTCAAAATAGCAACTCTTTTGACTTTGGGTCTTATTTTGGAAAAGTTACAACAAAAAGACTCTTCAGAAATAATATTGTTTGAAAAATCGACAAAAATCCCAAAAAACACCTTAAAAACTTGGTTTTTGTGTCAAAACCCTGGGAAATAATGGTTAAAATGTGGAATGTCATACACCGTTAAATTCGTAATAAAATTTCCAATCGAATGGCATTTACAGCTAAAATTTTTTCAGATTTTCAAATTTCTGCAAAAAATGATGATGTACCCCCTTACAAAAAAGTCAGAAATTTTGACAAAAATAAATTTTTCAAAAAACGTTTTTCAAAATTCGGTTTTTTTGTCAAAACTGAATTAATTGTTTTCAAACGATAAGGGATCGATGGTATAGGTTGCCAGCTGTTCAAAATAGCAACTCTTTTGACTTTGGGTCTTATTTTGGAAAAGTTACAGCAAAAAGACCCTTCGGAAATAATTTTGTTTGAAAAATCGCCAAAAAACCCAAAAAAAAACTTGGTTTTTGTGTCAAAACCCTGGGAAATAATGGTCAAATGTTGGAATGTCATACACCGTTGAATTCGTTATAAAATTTCCAATCAAATGGCATTCACAGTTAATATTTTTTCATATTTTCAAATTTCTGCAAAATATGAATATTTAATTGATTATGAATCATCATGTGAAGTCCTTGACTAACTTATTTGCTGAATACCCTTTCCATTCTGTAGCGGACTACGGCCATTGCGGCAGCAAGCGCCGACTTATCGGTGGAGGAGGTGGTGCCTGTGAAGGACGGAGGCATCTCTACTGCATGCGCAGTGCCTCCGTGAAGTCCCTGCGCCAGCATCAGATCAACGGAGTGGTAGGAGGTGCAGCCGGTGGAGGTGCACCCACTGACTGCTGCAGTCGCATGCAGAGGATGCGCCTCCAGCAGCAGCAGCAGGGATACACCAGCGACAACGAATCCCGGAGAAAGTCCCTATCCCAGCCCAGTCTGCGCATCACGGAGGCGGGTCTGCGAAGGTGAGTGTCCTCCAGTGACCTATTTTTTCGATCCTCTAATTTTGCTCTGCAGGTCCAATGAGAGCAAGAGCCTGGAGAGCAAGAAGCGGGTGGTGAAGATGCTTTTCGTCCTGGTGCTGGAATTCTTCATCTGCTGGACCCCGCTGTACGTGATAAACACGATGACCATGCTTCTGGGGCCGGCTGTGTACGAGTATGTGGGCTACACGTCCATCAGCTTCCTGCAGCTGCTGGCCTACTCCTCCAGCTGCTGCAATCCGATCACCTACTGCTTCATGAACGCCAGCTTCCGGCGGGCCTTCGTGGACACCTTCAAGGGGATGCGGGTGTGCGAGCGAGTGTGTGCCCCCTGCTGCTTCTGGCGCCGCAGGTCCAAGAACGAGACCAACCTGTCCGTGGCTGGCAACTCCATTGCGCTGGCCAACTCGGTCATGTCCAGCCACACGATATTGGAGAGCCCGCGTCTCTGAAACAGCAGCCGCCGGCGCAGGCAGCAGCCACAACTGGCGGAGACGGAGTCGCTCTAGTGGCACACTTGTGATGCAATGCAATGTAACTGCAATCGAAACTGTGTGGTTGTCAACCGTTCTGCCGCGTTCTGAATGTGTGTGGACAAATGCTCTTACCCTCTTAGCGATAAGTATTTTAATAGCTACTACTCTTGTGTGTTTTTAGCGTTGCGCCAATGCGAGTTATTCAGTGTGAGTTATTTGACTTTGACCTCGCGTTCCTGTGTTTACACCTATGTATAAAAAAGTGCGTGCAATCAGCGACCCAAGCCGATGCAAATTGAGATCAGCACACGCTATGGAAAAAATGGGGTGGACCTTAGTGGGTTTAATACTCAAGGGGCTGTACATATTTCACGTCATCATATTTTTTTTGAACTATTTTTCCAAAAGTTAATGATTCAAAATATACAACAAAATCTAGTTTTGAGAAGTAATCAAATTACTACGCATTCAATGATTTCGTAATATATGAAAGTAAGAATTATTTACAAGCCAAATAAATAGAAATAATCTATTCTTTTTTTTAATTGAACGTGTTTAAACACTTCAAATAGTAGTTGTAGATAGTTTGTTAATGTTAATTTTGAACTGTTCAACATGTCGTATGAGTAATATTTACTATATCATTTTGAGACCATTGTGCTACGTTTAAAACATAGAAAGTCAGAACTTTGCTTGCTATTTTACCTTCTAGATGTCAACCCCTAGAGTAGAAATTCCACTGATCACGCAAAAGTGGAAGGTTTCAACGAATCAAGTAGCATTTGACAGCAGGCTGATTTTACAGGGTAGACAGGGATTCCGGTAGGATTCCTCTCATTCAAAAAAAGGTTGTCAAACGGAGCTTACGGAGTGCCCGCCACTCCAAGGTCCAGATTAAATAAACTAAGAAACCCGTATGCTAATCGAAATCACCCAAATTTCAAGTAATTTTAATGTATCTGATGAAGCATCACATGTAAATTGGGAATTGTTAATGGGAAAATAAATAAATGTTATATTTTCAGCTCCCAAACACACACACATAAACACACATTTCAACGAACTTAGCAATTGCAATTATTATGATATTTATATATGAATAAATCTCAATGTTTTTTATGTAAATAAGATGAATGAAAATAAAGGCCAAATAAAACGACATATAAATTGGGGTTCAGCAGCAAAGCGTTGTATACTTTTGGGCATTTGCCTACA